TGCCGTGCCCGATCCGCCGGACTGCCGACCTTTACGCCCTGCTCGCCGGCCGGAGCTCCTCGCCGTCGTCAGATCTGCCCTCGGCCGGCCGTCTTCCACCTCCAGCCGACCTGTCCGAGCTCTCGGTCTTCTCTCTCGTAAAGCCGGCCCAAGCTCCCTCGCCCGGATGCTCGTCGTTCTCCTCCTCGCCGGCGAGGTTTGACGCCGCCACCTCCCTTTTCCTTCTTCTTCTTCTTCTTCTCTTCTTGGCTGCAAGCAGATCCGCCGGCTCCTCCAACTCCGATGTCAAGATCCGGTCATTCGCCGGACCTCTTCCTCGCCCACCTTTTTGCCCCGTCGGCGTCGCATTTACGCTGGAGAAAATCAACGAGGAGAGTGTTGGATTTTGGGCTCTCCTCTGTGTTTCTTTCTCTCCCAGTGTACGCCGCCGACGAGCTAGCCTCTACACGTCATCGTCCTACCTTCTCGGCGACCGGACGCCTTGTCGGAGTACCTCGATCCCGCCGCACAGCGAGCAACGTCGCTGTTCGGGGAGGTGTGAGGGTCACCCGCCTCATGGAAAGGCCTCCATCGGCGCTTCTTCCCGCTGGCGTCCTTATCGCCGTTATCAAGCGACCCTCCTACGAAGGTATATGTTTCAGCCTCATTTTCATATGATTTGATGCTTATTTGTATGTACTTCGCATACCTCTTGCCCTCACAATTTTATTGTCCTGTGCACATTTTGTGAATACTGGAGCATGGATCGAACGCCGCCTGGAGCATGGATCAAACGCCGACGAGCTTGGAGCAAGCAAAGAAAATGCGTCTGCAACCGTCACGGCGGTGAGACTTTCTACCTTCTAGCCAGCCTTAGGAATAGTGGAGTTTAGGCGTATGGGTTTGATCGCCCACACGGGGTGCGTGCGCCGGTGTGGGTCGGCACGACGACTTGCCTGCGTGATGGATCGTTAGTTTTCCTAGAGCCAACCTTTAGGTTAGAACTTCCTATGCGTGACCAAATACCCCTCCGTAGAGCCGAGTGTCTCCCTTGGTTATGAGCCTTAACACAAGTCCCGATGGGTCGGAGTCTCTCACTCCTCTTGCTCTGGATTCCCCAGCTTTACTTGGAGATGTTGGGAGGTCGGACTTGGCAAAGCGAGAGAAGCTTTGTAGCCGGCTCCTTTTGCAAAGTCTGGAGGAGTTCACAAAATTGGAAAAGCTTTGTAGCTAGTCCATTTCGCGACGCCGTGGAGAGTTTCCCCCTCGGAGATCCGGGGAGAAATTTCCCACAGTTCCTCACCAAAGCAAGAGGCGGCGGTGCCGCACATCCATGGGTCTAAACCTTAAGTCTCCCAGGTGAGGTCGTTAGCACGAGCCCGATTTGCTATCTGCATGTTGGTTTGTTATATATTGCATTTTTTGCTTGATGCATGTTGCATTTCAACTCGCCCCGACTGGCCATCCCGGGCCAGCGAGCATCTTACTAAACTT